GCTCAAATCCAGTCTTAACTACCTCATGATAAACGTTTCGTGCCCCCGCCCCACCATTTGGGAGTACTAAATCCTCCAGTATCCTCTTCCTTGCCTGTAAATAAGGATAATACTATCCTAAAACTCAGTGGGTACATTTCCACAAATATTTATAAAGCATCTAGTGTGGTGTCTGCACATTAAAGAAGCTTAATAAACAGTAGCTGTTATTTTTAACATTAGAAGGAATTCCCAAAATGCAAGATGTTCTAGCCCTAGATTCTTTTTTTTTTTTTTTTTTTTTTTTTTTTTTTTTTTTTTTTTTTTTTGAGAGGTTTTTGCTATAGGGCATATGCGCTCGCCAGAAAGACTGAGACAGGCAGAGAGACAGAAAGTGAGAAATCACCCCCCGGGGAGGACGGCCATACCACAATCCCTTCTTCTCCATTCTCTTTTCAGGGTCTTGGGCACGCACGCACGTGCACCTGGTATGATTTTAAGCCGCCAGGTCTGGGACTTGAACCGCGGTCGACTACATGGGAGTCCATTGACATAGCCATTACGCCAACTGCTGGTCCCCTAGCTCCGGACTCTTAATATTAAGTCTGCCTTGTACTAATGCTTGCATTTTATCCAGGAGAGTTACAGATAAGACCTAGTAGGTGGCCTATTTTAAAGCCTTAGTCTGGAGCTGATAGGAAATACTTTATAGCTTATTCACATCTCTCTACCTGTATCATTTCAGGTCCTATATGCCCTGTATTGCTTTGTCTGGGCTCCAAAATTCACCTTTCCTGGGCCTAACAAGCTGGAATGATGGTGACTTAATGTCTCTTTAGAGTAGTCCTTAACTAATGAAAGATGCAAGTTGGTGGATCTTGCCCGTTACATGAGATAACATAGCAGCCTGTGTTCTACCCTGTTTCCCATTTGCCTGTGGTGGTAACTTGCTTACTAACACACTTTCCCTGGCTGCCTTCTCTTCCCAGCCTCGTTTCCTCACTGTCCTGCTGGCATTTCCTGGGATCACTTTTCAAATAAATTATATGCACTTGAATCCCTGCTTACAGTCTCCTTCTGGGGAAACCTAACCAAGGACCTGTTTCAATTCAGATGTGCAGCCACTGGGTGCTGCTCGGGTATGCATGTGTAGCGAGCATGAACAGGGTGTTATCTGAAGACAGGCAAACCCAGCCAAGAATAGAGGGACCTTGCCAAAGAACATCAGGCACATTTCGAGGATGCCAGGAGAGATGATTTCAGAGCTCTTTATTATAAACTGGAACCATCTGCCGGCCTGTAATAAACCGGAATATAAAAGTCCTAATCTGGGATGCAGTTAAACTGTTTACTTTCTGTTTGTGGTTATGTATTTAAAGCTTAACACGCTCTGAATGGCGGATTTAAATTCATAAGTACATTGTCTTACACAATTGGCATAACGTCTTTTCAATACAATATGCAAAATACATTAGCATGTTGCATTAAGAGCTTGGTGTTTTCTCTTTGTTCGTATTATGCTTTGTTTTTAAATACAGAAAACTTGCAGGACCACAGCTCTGTAAATGTCTTGTGGGGATGCCAAGAACCGCT